GGAATGTGCGGTTTCTATGAAAATGGATGATGACGACAAGTATCAATTTTCATTAAATACATTTAAGGGATATAATCCTTTTTCATTTTAAAATCTTCATATTTACTTTACAAAAAGTTTTATCTCTTTCAATGAAATTTAGGGCCAAAAAAAAAAAACAACAACTCATCCATTAACTTAAAAATTATTTTAAGGGCTACATCAGAAGACCATCACCTTGATGCTTTCCACTTATCACCTGAGGTCAACTTGAGGTTTGGCTTTCCCTTAGGGGAGGCTCAGCAAGCGACTGGGATTTTCATGGCTGAAAGAATTTAAAACTCATAGTATCGGCCGGGCGTGGTGGTGCACGCCTGTAATCCCAGCACTCGGGAGGCTGAGGCAGGAGAATCGTTGCAAGTTCAAGGCCAGCCTGGGCTACAAAGTGAGCTCAAGGCCACCCTGACCTGCATAGCAAAACCCTGTCTCAAAATGACAGAAAAAAAACTCATAGTAGTCATTGTGTTCCCAAGCACATACACAGCACCTTGATGAGACCACTTCTTCAATAGGACTTTATCTTTTTTGCCAGGGGAGGCAGATATGACACAAAGTCTCACTATGTAGTTCAGGGTGGTCTTAAACTCACTATGTAGCCCAGGCTGGCCTCAAACTCACAGCAATCCTCCTGCCTCAGCCTCCCCAGTGCTGGGATTACAGGTGTGCACCACCATGCCCTGCTCAAGATTACTTATCTTCTAAATCATAGCCCAAAGTAATCAGAACCTATATGAGCCTCCTGATTACTCTAGCCCCAAAGTAAAATGTTAATGTCCAGTATTGAACTGTATTAACTTTGTGAACTGAAGTTCAAATAATGGGTTTTACCATTCTCTGAAAGTGAACTTAGCTCCCCAAACCACAAATTTCCCTTCCACCAGGGAGCCTACTTTGGCAAGCTTACCCAGGCCTCCCTTGGCAGGGGCCAAAATTTGTGGTATGAGGTAGCAGAGGAAAAAACATACGTTCCTGGCTGCCAAGACAAAGGAGAGAGGAAGAAAGTGCTTTACACATCAGGAAACTAGCTGGTCACTCTGGAACAGTGTCAAGTTTTATGTTAGTGGCACTTCCATATTCCACCCAGAAATACCTGGTATAGAAAAGAAGTGTTTCTCCTAAAATGAAGAAGAGTTATAAGAAATATGTGCTCTTAAGAAATATCTCTTAACTATCATGGTGCAAATTCCTGAGCTAGTTCTCTGGGCAGTTCCTAAGTGAGTCAGAGCTGGAGGCTACCAAACCAACCAACCACTATTATTTGTGGCATATCATACATGTCAGTGCCTGGTATTTTAGATTTTTGTTATTGCTGTACTCTATATCCAGCACTTTTTTATTGTTTTAGTACAGAAGAGTTGATACCACACAATCTGAACTATCTCAGTGACTTGGAAAAATGGAGAGATGTACTTCTTTCATGTGAATGTTAATTCGGAACTCCTTCCCACCCGTGCTTACTCTGTCACTCTGCCTGAGAGAAGCAGCCACCATCTGAAATCTCGCCAGAGTGGTTAAACATAGCCACAAATTCTTTGTCACTTTCCCCCAACTCGCATCCAGAGTTTATTTCACCATCACCTCAAAATTGAGCTGGCCCTACTTTTACTGATAGAATATGTCATTTCCAGGCGTTGGCCTCACAAAGACTGGAAGGTTCTATTTTATGCTTTTGAGGTCCCAGGCCAGCATGTAAGAAGTCAGACCACTCTGCTGGAGAAGCTGCATGAAGAAGAGAGGCTCTGGAACAAGAAAAGCTCAGGCATTTTGAGCTTCCCAATTACTCTCTCCCTCCAGACAAGACAAGCTGGAACTACATCAGCGACGCTACAGCAAAACTAGACAGCTGTCCATGAGCCAAGTCAACTCACAAAACCGTTAGTGAGAATAAAATACTGACTGTTTTAAACCTTAAGATTTTGCCAGGAGTGGTGCCAGGAGGCTGAGGCAGGAGGATCGTTGCAAGTTCAAGACCAGCCTGGGCTACAAAGTTAGCTCAAGGCCGGCCTGAACTGCATAGCAAGACCCTGTCTCAAAAAGACACACACACACACACACACAAAAAAAAAAATCAACCAAAAGTCGTTGGCAAATGTGCACAGAAACTAAGCTTTTATTTGGAAGTGATGGAAGTAACTTCTGATCACATTTCACTGGTCAGACTCGAGGTCAAAGGAGTGAAGAAATCCAAGTCTACTCTGCATGTAGAGAAAGAAATGGAAACGGTAGGTGGCTGGTCCTCCCGGGGAACTTAGGGCTGGAGAGGTACCTTGCACAGTGATGACATCCGGGTCAGTAGTACATCCAGAGTTAAGGCTAAAAGGGGGCGTGTAGGAGAAAAGAATACAGATGGCGGAAGCTTGTAGATTACCTCTCGGCAGTAGGGATACAACGAGGAAAAGGAGAGTACAGGAGTCAGCAAGGGAGCACTGTCAGAGGCAAAGGGGGAAATACTGGAATCCAAAGGGCAGTTTCAATGAAGGGATGTTAAGAAGAGCATAACATAAGAGGCCAAATGGGTGGTATATGTAAGCAGTCCTTGGAAATTCAAAGAAAATGGTCAGTGTGGGTCGATGCAGTCTCATGCTTTAAGTGAAGGTAGAGACACACAAGGACTAGAAAGTAACAGAAGGTGAATGTATGAAATGAGAGAAGTCCACCAGCAAGCATGAGAAAAGTTTTTTGTGTGCGTTTTTGTTTTTTTGTCTTCTTCAAATAGGGTCTGGCTTTGCAGTTCAGGCTGGCTTTGAGCTCACTTTGTAGCTCAGGCTGGTCTCGACCTCACAAGGATCCTCCTGCCTCAGCCTCCCCTGTACTGGGATTACAGGCATGCGCCGTTTTTTGCTTTTCTTCATTT